TTCAAACCACAGGCATCACCACTACATTTACCAGTTGTCACCAAGAAGGCATCATTGATCAACTGGGGCAGGGGGAGAGGGAGTGGGGACTGCTGCTTTGTTAGAGCAAAACCACTTGAGAAGAAATCAATGAGGCAAGGGCTTCACATAAATCATATCCCATTTTGTCCCCTTCGGTTCTGTTGTTAGCTAACTAAACCATCTGATACAGTAGAACAACAGTGACAATAAGCATAGTGTCACTGATTTACAGGGGCTATGAGCTCATGCTGAATGCTTTAAAGCCATGTCATTGCATAGGAGAAATTCTAATTTTCTTTCTTCTTCTAATCTTTAAGGTCAAAACTGTGACTTTGGCCCTCTGTGTTCCTTTTTTTTTTTTTTGGAGTATAATTGCTTTACAATGTTGTGTTGATTTCTGCTGCTCAACAAGGTGAATCAGCTATATGTATACATACATACCCTTCCTCTTGAGCCTCCCTCTCACCCTCCCCCCAGCTCATCCCTCAAGTCATCACAGAGCACCGACCTGAGCTCCCTATTCTATAAGCCACTTCCCACTAGCTTTCTGCTTTACACACGATAGTGTATATGTCAATTCTACTGTCTCAATTCAACACCCCCTCTCCTCTCCACACCCTCCCCCACCTCTGTGCCCACAAGTCTCTATGTCTGCATCTGCTAAAGTCTCTATTCCTGCCCTGTTAAAATAGGTTCATCAGTACCATTTTTCTAGATTCCATATATGTGTGGATTGCTACAGGCCATACTAATCCCAATAGTAAAGAATCCACCTGCAATCCAGGAGACACAAGAAATGTGGGTTCAATCTCTGGGTCAGGAAGATCCCCTGGAGGAGGAAATGGCAACCCACTCTAGTATTCTTGCCAGGAACATTCCATGGACAGAAGAGCCTGGCGGGCTACAGTCCACGGGGTCGCAGAGTTGGATACGACTAAGTGACTGGGCACATATTAATCCCTGCTGGTATTGACCAAGGAAACTGTGTATTTTCTCTTTGTCATGTTTATATGCTACACTGGATCTAAGCAGTAATCATCAAGTATTTATAAAAGTATCATTGTGTTAAGAGCAACATATCAGACATTCAGAAAATTAGAAGCAAATAAGTCATAATATGCCCCCCGGGAGGTTTACCATCTAGGGGAGCCAATGCACAGAAAATGGAAACCTTAGCTGTGCTGGCTGCCTGCCGGTCTTTATGAAGCAATGGAGCAAACAAAACTGCCTTGACCTGACGATGATGTCATTCATACAGAGGGCTCTTCAGATTGAAATTAGATCAGCTGCCTTGCAGTACAGAACCAACTGACCTTAGTTTTAGTAGCAGCCATCCCCATGACATCATAGCAACCGTCTTTCTGATCCCTGGAGCTAAGCCCCATCTTCCTAATCTTGGGAGTGGGAGCTTTTTCACCACTTCAGACTCCACAAATGCCAATCTGGAAAAGCCCCCCATTTCCATCTAAAACATGCCATGATTTAAGAAGTTCTGACCTGGAGAGCTAGTTGAAAGTGATCATTAATGATTCTCTACTTATCTCACAGACATGTACACACACACAAACACACACACACATGTGCATACACACATACACACACACAAAATGATGTGTCTGTCTCCCTCTTTCTGCATCATTACAGGATTTACCCAAACCTGGCTTGAATTCCAGCTCACCCAATTCTTCTTGTTTAGGCTCATAATAAAACATGCCCTTTGGGTTCGGTGGGGCTTGTCTGCTGGCTCAGATGGTAGAGTATCTGTCTGCGATGCAGGAGACCTGGGTTTGATCCATGGCTCAGGAAGATCCCCTAGAGAAGGGCACAGATACCCACTCCAGGATTCTTGCCTGGAGAGTCCTAGGGACAGAGGAACCTGACAGGCTACAGTCCATGGGGTCACAAGAGTCGGACACGACTGAGCAACTACACTACCATGGGTTCAGTACATTCCCAAATACATTTTATCTCTATCTCTTACATTGCTTTCCTCATTTATCAGTAATTTGTTCAACTCACAGTTCATTCAAATGAGAAAACAAACAGAAATGAAAGCTCCATCATTTTCCTTTATTTTACTAGTGTGTGTGTGTGTGTGTGTGTGTGCGCGCGCGCGTGTGTGTGGTAGTAGCAGTAGACATCTCTTAACAACACAAGAGGTTCAGGTATAGCTCTGATCAAATAGTCTTGCCTGCAGGAACCACAAGCAGTAAGACCTGATGCCCAGAAGATTTTTTAATCCTCTAACCTGACTCCAGCCTGGTAATAATTTTGTTGAATTATAATATAAGAAGCTGGTTTTATAATCATGCCTGGGGCATAGTTTCAGGAGTTCCTGGTGAAAGTGAAGGAGGTTCAATTTTCACTTAGTAAACTTTTTTATTCTTTGCAGATCTACCATGAGTTCCTATATGTTTCATTATAATAAAAATTGAAAAGCAATGTTGGCCAACATTTATTGTGCCTTTACTATGTGCCTGGTCTTTTATATGCATTACCTCATTTAATCCATCCAAAAATTCTAATGCAGTTTTTTTTTGTTTCTCCATTTTATAGATGAAGAAATATGGGGTTAAAGTTATAGTCTAGGATGTACATCTATAGGTTTAGCTGATATTTTATGAGAATAAAATTGTATGATAGGTATAAAAATGCTGTGAGAGGTTAAATTACCATGCAAAGGTGAGGCAGGAGAATTCTATCAATAAGAGAATGTGTTTATTGGGTCCTTGTTGGCCAGGCTTGCCACAGTAAATCATGCTGAAATTTAGGGGTAGCTCCAATCTTATAAGGACTTCCCTGGTGACTCAGTGGTAAAGAATCCACCTGCCAATGTAGGAGATGCAGGCTGAATCCCTGGGTCAGGAAGATCCCCTGGAGGAGGAAATGGCAACCCAGTCCAGTATTCTTGCCTGGGCAATCCCATGGACAGAGGAGTCAGGTGGGCAGGCTACTGTCCCTGAGAGCACGAAGGGTCAGGATGCCCCAGTCTTGTAATCCCTAGGTTTTTACTTATTCATCCCATAGCTTCCATTTCTCAACCATCCAGTTAAAGGCTTTGATTGGAGTTGGAGGAATTAAGTGTGGATGGAGTGTTCTACACTAACCTCCCCTATTCCTGCCAATCAATAGATCAGTGGTGTGTTATTTGTGACCTCTTTCCTTCGTGCACCTTTAAAAACAAAGTAAATTGTGGAAGTTTTCAGGTATATAGACTGGGTCTACTGAGGCAGCCTTCAGGACAGAAATCAGAATCTCGAAAGCTAAGAGACTGAAGCCAACACATCAAGAATCTGGTTCTTTTCACATCTCTTCTCAAATACCTGACAGATATAAGTAAGTTTAGAAGAGTGACAGCAATTATTTTAGCAACAGAGAGAAGTATATAACAAATGCTTTTTGTGCCTCTTGGGTTGTATTTTCATTTTGTTTAATTTTCATATTTAGGTGAGAAAGAAATTAGGGGGGTATGTTTGTCTGTACTATATATATAGCATTCCTGATTTCCAGTGGCAAGGTGTAAAAATTCACAAGCTAGCCTGAATCTCAGAAGCACCAGAGTCTCATTTTGTAATATTCTCTCAGTCCTGTCATTAGTTTCAGCCTTAAAATGACATAATCCTTTCCAAGAAGCTCCCATCTTGTGAACAGACTGAATTTTCAGGATATTTTTTTTTCCAATCACTATTTCTTCCATAAGCATTTATTGAGGACTTACTATTTATTGAGGCTTTACTCTTCTAGGTGCTGGAATTAGAGTTAAGAACAAATAAATCAGGCAAATAATCCATACATGAAGTCTAATTAGAGGAGAGAGGCAATAACAGTATAAGTAAGTAAATTATATGGTATGTTAGAAGGTGATGAGTACTATGAATAAAATTAAGCAGGGAGTGCTGTGGGATGGGAGTTGCAAGTTTAAGTAGATTTTCTAAGGAAGGCCTCCTTGAGAAGGTTAAATTTGTGCAGACTTGAAGAAAATGAAAAGAACTGTGTGGAGATCTGGAGGAAAAATGTTCCAAGATGAGGGAACAGTAAGTACAAAGGCCCTGAAAAAGATGTGTCAGGCATGAGCAGAAAGAGCAAGAAGCACTGGCATAGTAACTGATATGCTCGGAGAGGTAATATCAGGAGCCAGACCCTGGAGGGCTTTGCAAACTATCGTGGTGACTTTGGCTTTTTACTCTGTGTGGGGTGAGGGGCTGCTCAATGGTTTTAAATGGAAGAATGATAACAATCTGATTTCAGTTTCTTCTAGAAACAATATTAATTGTGGAACAGGTTCCCGGAATGACCCAGCAAAGCCTGATAAGTGCATATTACCATTGAACTCAGGTGCTAATCAAACTCTAAGAAGCTGAGCTCAGAGCACTGGGTTCAGATCCCAGAGGTGGGGGCTCAACTCATAGCTCAGTTGGGTGACTTTGGGTGTGTCCGTTAACATCTCCGAGCCCTATTTTCCTCATCGAAGAAGTAAGGATAAGCAATACTGGCCCGTGGCTTTATTTTGAGGCTCACGTGACCATGAAACATAGAAAAACTCTGTAGATGATGATAAAACATTATATGAAGTTCAGGGGGTGGTGAGAGTATCAGTGGGTCTGGTTCTGCCATTATCATTTCAGGGAAAATGAAGTCCAGAACCTAAGCCAAAATGCCAGGAATGCAACCTTTGCTTTCCCCTTACTTCTTATTAACTAGCCATGGAAATGGAGCCTCTTCCTTCTCCAGCACCAGAGGTCAAGGAGAGAGAAGGACCCCGCAGATCTCAACAGAAGGCGCCCATAGGGCTCCCAGTGGATCGGTCGTAACTTCAGGGAGTTTGCAGACTGGGGCCTCCCTGCTTGGTGGGTCTGCTGCCAAGAGTTTGCCCTGTGAAGAATCACATCTTCCCTTCCCCTTCAGGCCCCAGGGCACGGGGCTGTCGGCACCATGGGCAACTTCTCCAACTAACCACAGCCTCTCCTCCTTCCCACCAGGCATTCTTCCTACGGAAGGCTCTTGGACGACCACGACTACGGGTCCTGGGGAAACTACAACAACCCTCTGTATGACGACTCCTAACGAAAGAACGTGCCCGGGATGAGGAATAACTGTCTTTATTTATCAGTGCTTATCCAGTAGAATTAATAACAAGTACCTGAGGCGCCTCGAGCGACAATCCTGTTTTGTTGGTTTGGTTGTTTTGTTTTTCTCCCCCCTCCTCTGGCTGCTGCAACTTATCCTTTCTGGTACCAAAAAAACAAAAAAAACAAAGTTATTTAAAAGTGAGTGGAGTCTGATATGCAGCGGACCTGGGCCAACCCTGAGCCGTCCAGGCTGGACGCCACGGTGGTGACGTCTGTACCTAGCGGGGGTCCCACCGAGAGAAGAACCAGGAAGAGGGATGGATCAAGTTGTGTCATCAGGGGTTAATTTTAGGGGAACTTTCTGTGTGTGGTATTTCTTAAACTTTTCTTTATGAAGTTACATTAAATCTCCATGAGGGGAAAGGCCATGAGGGCAGGGAGGAGTTTGCCCTACAGGTAAGGAAGCAGGGGTTTCTCAGATTCCTTTTTAATCTTGGTTTATCTGGTTGTGTCTGATCGGTTACCCGCTTAGCTCTGCAAGCTGGAGCCCAGCTTCTTAGCTGCCTAATTAGGGAGAGAGGAAGCAAGAAGGTGCCCTGGAGGGGACCAGCCGGCCGAGTACTACTACAGAGTAGCAGACTGCCATCGGATCTCAGCCTGCCAGCTCCTCGGCCACCCCTCCAGGCCATCTGTGTCTGCTAAGGATGCCCGGTTATCTAGCCAACCGCAGCTGGGACCCCAGCCCACAAGCTTTCAGTGGAGTTGCGGTTCCACAGAAGAAGGCTGTGCAATGAGTTTAGTTGTAGGAGAGAAAGGGAGAGGCATGTGGAGTGAGTGTAGGGTGGGGGTCATGGAGGGGGATGGGAGGGAAGTGGGGGCAACATGCATTGAATACCTCATTAAAGAAGGTAGGATCAGCCCCCAGTGACTGTCAGAGGCATCCGCTGCATGGAGGAAACTGTAGAATCCTTGCTTTCTACCCACAAAGCAACTGGTTCACTGCCTTACTGTCTGTTGGATAATGGCTGTAAACTTTTTTTAATTTTTTTATTTTTTAAAGGCACTCGTTTTTCTGCAATTACTCAGTGAGCCTTCTCCATAGGAAATGGACACCATGATTAATCCATTTATTTTCCCCAAATGCTTACCTTACTAATTCTGCCATTTAATAGATGAACACCCCTGGGTACACAGTTTTAAAATCCTGTCACCAGTTTTGAGAAAGAACTGATTGTCTTTGTGGTCATCCATTTCCGGCCGTGTTCTCAACAGCAGGTAATTTCATCCCACTGCCCCACTGGGAACATTTGAAAATGCCTGGTATGATTTTTGAGTGTCACCCCTTAGGGGTGCTAGAGGCCATGGGTAGAGGCCATGGATGTGCTGAATATCCCACAACGTAGAAGATAGCCCACCCTAACTGAGAGTTATCCGGCTGCAAATGTCAATAGTGCCAAGTGTGAGAAACCCTAATTTATTGTGATGCCCATTGTGACAAGGCAAGACGTTCCAGGTTAGTGATAGTTTTTACTTTTAACTAAATGAAATGATTTGTTAAATTTTTATCTGAAAAGTATTTAGTTTGTTGGCATTGTGTTTAAAGTATTTAGTTTGATGAGTTGTTTTTGTGCATGATTGCCTTTTTATTCCTCTGTGTTTTCTAGATAGCTTTATTTCATGGCTCTAACCCTGTCCTCCTGAAACACCTGGTGATAGCAACTGTTATCTTATGTCTGATTTCATGGAGTACAAAATATACATTAAGTTCTGTTTCAAAATGTGTTCTCTTGTCCGACGCTATCATACAGAACGTGAAACTGCATTTTTTTTATTTCTAAACTTGGACCTGCTGCCATGACTCTGTTTAGTTTCCAGAAACTTGACCTTGGACTCATCCTGTCACTTGCTGTGACCCAACGAAGTACTGACATGAAAGCGGCCACTGCCAGGCAGTTCTAAACCTCTCTGGTGTCAGAAACATTAGACCTGTGCTACTTTCCACAGCCTGCCAGCCCCCGGCTCTGAAAGAAATTAATCCTAAACTCCCTAGGTACCAAAGAAGAGTGAGCAACCCCTAGAAGCATTTTATAACAGGAGGAGGGAATGAGAAGGAGGCTTCCAGGAATTCTCATATCTCTGATTTTGAAAATTTTTAAAAAGTGGACTTTCTCAGAAAAGTGGCCAGGAATGACCAAGGATGCCCCCTTTTAGCAATGCTTGGCCTGAATAACTGTCCCTCTTTCCTACCCATAGCCTTCCCCCCATAGGCTTTAAGTTTGGCAAAGGATGCTTCAACAAAAACAAAGGACTTTCCATATACTTTCTTTTCACTCGGACACAGATTTGTTGACAAAATGTTTATGAAGCCCCTTTGGAGAGGTGGTCTTCTGGATGTTACTTTAGTCAAAAACACTTAGGTGAGAGGGACCAACCTCTTCCCAGGGAATCCTGACCAATTATAAATCACTGGGTCAGCAAGCAACTTTCCTCCCCGAGGCTGCTGTTGTACAGAGCCTTTGATAGGTTGGTTGCTCTGATGAATTTCAGGATCTTTATGATAAAGAGAAGGCTCTGGACCTGCAGCACATGCGTTCTGCAAGGTGACAGCTTCCCCTAAACACTCGGGAAGTCCTTGTTATGTTAGTAGAAAATACCTATGGGTTGAACCTTATTTTGCCAAGTGCATTTTTCTGTTTTTGAGTTGGCCAAAAATGTTAACAACTGCATTCAACACACACAGGCACACAACATATGCCAACAAGTGACGTCCTTTATCTCAGGGAGCGAGTCTGTTCAGGTCTACACAAGGGAAATGACTCCAGTGGGTCCGAAACAACCACATACCATCCAGGCACTGGACTAGTCAGAAAGTGTTAGAGAGAATGTCGCTAACACTAGACGAAGCCCCTTCTAGAATATAGGTTACAAATGCTGACAGAATGGGCTTCAACCTTGTTTTCTAGTGGCCCTGATGAAGGCTCTGGCCCTCCCTGGACGTCTGTGTCTTCATTTCTTAGGTGGGCATGATGGTGTCCTATGGACCTCACCCCGTGCTACCTCACAAATCTGCTGTGAGGATTGATGAAGTCATGTCTTCAGTGTTTTCAGTTTCTGGAGAAAAATATTTATAGACACTTTGAGTATTACATAGATGTATAAGTGATCTTGGTTTCTTGTTTGGTGTGTTGTTTTTACTTAAATGTGTAAAATGACACCTGTATAATAGCTACATACAGACAGCTCTTAGAGCTCTGAGCTATGCCCCAATGCTCCTACCTGACTTCCTGGGACCACAGAGAATGGTTTCCATCCCTGAATGAAAAGATGGCTCAGGACGCAGGCCTCACAGACTGTTGAGTTAGGGTAACACGTGTGGATATCTGAGCACTAACACCTGTGGACCTGGCCTTTACCATCCCAAAGTCTTCTGAGTTCTTTGTGGAGTTGATTTGGGTTTACCACCATCTGTTTGCCCTTTGTCTTGCTTGCAGGGGTGCATGGTTCAATCCTTCGCATCTGGGAAATGAATTTTGCGACTGGGCCAGATGCTAATTTGCACGTTGATTCACCTTCTTTGCCTTTTACCTCTTTTGGCAAATGAATGTACCATTTCAACTTTGATTTTTAAGTGCTAGTTGATATTGGTAATAGTGCTAACCAAGAGACCAGTGCCAGATTGCTTTCTTGGGGTAAGCCCACACCATTTAAAGACGGAAAGACGTGCAACTTCTTTGCTATTTGATGTCATTGTATCTACATTTGTTGTAAGACCTATTGCATACTAATGATAATTATATCAATTAAAGTTCTTAAAAACTCGCATCTGACAGTGGTGATTCACATTTTGATATGTTTTGTTATTCAAGCCATTTGGTTGCTGTGCTCCGTACTGCTCGCATTAAGCAGCCATGGCTTGTTCTTAGAGAAAATTTATCCCACATCAATAAATAATACTTTCTGCAGAGTGGGAAGTTCTCTCTGATCTTGAAACAGAACTGAAGGATGTCAGAAATGAAGAAACTTTCCAAGCAGTGATTTTACTCTTAACTATACACCATGCCTTATAAAATAGTTGTAAAAAGAAACACTTTGATTCAATAAAGTGTTATATATAATAAGTTATATTAAGGTGGTAGCAGTACATTTGATACTTGCTTTGTTCTCCTTCAAAAACACTCAGCATACCCATCCTATCTGACAGTTAAATAGCAGGCAGTTTTAATCATCCACAATATTATTCCCACCCCCAGAAGCCAACCAAAGACTATTCTAATTCTGAAGAAACGGCAATAACAAAGCCCAGGCATCTTGCAACAGAGGAAAGAAAGGGATACACTTGCAAACTAGGGCAAGTTGATTTGATGATGGATTTAAACTTAAGGTCAGACTTAATACATTTCGATACCTGACTTCCAGTGCCACAACATGGAGGACTGATGGGGAGACATCAAGATGGACCAAGAGGACAAGACGTGAAACAGGCCCTTCCCCACTGATCATTCAGAGGACCTGCCATGGGCCTAAAAACATGTAATAACTACATTATTCCAAGCATGCCTTCACAGGTTTGGTCAGAAAGCACATTAAGTGTGCATAGAAAGGGAAAGCCTAATAATAATTTGTAGTGTTCACATCTTTTGAATTATTGGCTCAGATCAGTTTTCTCCCCTGTAGCATAGCTTTTCCAAGTCGTCATAATCTGTTTCAATCATTGAGTAACCTATCTCCAATCTTTTACTCTCCTAAAATTCAACAGTGTGTCCCAATAGCTAGTAGCTATATTTTGATTTTCATCAGAAAGGATTGAGTCGTAAGTGACAATTAAAAACACTGATCAAGGGACTTCCCTGGTGGTCCAGTTGCTAGGACTCTGCACTCCCAAGGCAGAAGGCCCAGGTTAAATCTCTGGTCAGGAAACTAGACCTCAAATGCTGCAACTAAACATCCCACATGCCACAGCTAAGAGTGGACACAGCCAAATAAATAAATAATCAA